CACAGCTGGTCGATTTCAACAGAGGAAAACCAACAACTGGAAGATGAGTGGAAAAGCGTCACATAAATGTATAAGTGCTCACAGCTCCGTGGGAATTATTATGTGCAATTCATTTCTAAAAGGCTTTCACATTACTATAATTATATTTTTATTTAAATGTAGGCTACATTTTACACCAAAACGGAACACAAAAGCATTGACATTGAATTCCTTGACTAACAAGAGAAAGATTCATTAATTTAAATACATATTTAACCAGAAATAGGCCGGTACTAAGGGTTATTCAGTTAAGCCCGATGAGAGGAGACAGCTGTGCACATGTCATCATTAACAGACGTCGTTTAAAAGTGACGTTTGAGTGAACGAGGACATCCCAATTAACACCTGAGGACTTCTCTGTCCTCGCATCACCTCCTCGTGTCTCTCGCTCGCATCTTACGGAGGCGGAGCTAAGATGCAAGGAAGGGAAGTGAGTGAGGGAAAGGAGGAGTCGAGGAGGGGTATTGGGATGAGGCTTAAGTCTCGAGGATAGGAGTCGAGGAGGGGAAATTTAAGAATTGAGAAGCCTCTTTAGTGTCTACAAACTGCAACGGGGTTTTGCGAGATCTTGCAAATGGGTTTTGCGAGATCTTTTTTTTGTTCAAATAATTTTGTTCTTCTCCATGTCCCCTAGGGCTCCGAAGAATTCTGACTTTGATTTTGAAACAATTAAAATGTTTACCTCAATATATTCTGAGATTAAAGTCAGAACTTGTGTATGTTTTTTTACTTTAGGTAACAACCCCCAAAAATTGTCATCTTACAAAAAGAAAACTGTAATACTTTTCTAGTTTTATTTAATTTGGGTAACATTAAGCCTTATGCTTAACAAAGTGGGTATCCAATCGGACATTTGAAACAACTTTTTTATTTTAGTGATTTGCATTTCAATTTCACATAATGACCTTTTACCTTATTATTTTTTTATGCAAATTATTTTTCTTGTTTCTTGATTTCACTTCCACCGTTATGCCTCTTTCACATATACTGCCCTATTTAATGTCTTTATTTTTTAATATGTCCTCAGTATATTAATGCATTGTTGGATGAGCCTTGAAAGATGTTTTAATTGCCAAACAAATCACTTTAGCTATGGTGCATGTGACAACAAAGCCTTTGAATCATGAGATATCAAAGCAATTCGTTGTGTCTTCATAATTGCTGCACCCAATCAAAGTCAAAGTTAACTTTATTGTCAATCTCAAAATATGTTTGTACACACAGAATTGAAAGATTGAAATACTGTTTCCCACGGTCCCGAGGTATAACAAACTCACACATTAAAATGCAAGAACACTCAATGATCCATCCATTCCATCAATGTAATACACTTGTAATTCGCTTTGTTATGGTCACAATTCCAATTTCGGACGTCCTGTTTAACATCCTTCCCGGAATCACATCATGTGACCTCCTGCTGTTATAAAATCGTAAACACACCATACACACCCATCTACGCTGAAACACCGCCCTCTGTATCTACCCGCCCTCTTTTTTAGGACAGAAGTGGCCTATCAAAGGAAATGTCAATGATCGACACTCGGCTTGTCCAATCAGCTTCGGCTTTGAGCGTAAGAAAACCTTCCTTTTAAAACCCCACCCTTTCGACCAACCCGCCTCTTTATTAGACAGAAGTAGCCAATCAAATAACAGATCTTTGATTGACACGCAGCCTTGTCCAATCAGCTGAGGCTTTGAGCGTGACAGATCTCTCCGCCCTCTGTATCAACCCGCCTCTTCTAGGACAGAAGTAGCCAATCAATTAACACATATTTGATTGACATACAGCCTGACCAATCAGCTTCGTCCTTGAGTGCGACAAATCCTTCTGCCTCTACTCCCGGTTCCTGGACCATCCACAGCTGCCCGCTGCGCAGTAATAGCGACCCGCCAAGAACGCTCTCGGGCTGGGTGGATACATTATACAGCCGGGAAGACTTCACACCACCCGGCGGGTCGCTAGGACTCGTCGATTTTAACCCACTTTAAGCGGCGGACTACTCTTTTCCACCACCAAAATGGAAGCGGACGCGTTTGTGTCCCGGAGAACCGCCATGGAAACACCAGGCGTCGACAGCCGGGTTTCGAGCGCTGCAGCCGGGGCAGAGTTTCGATGGATGGGCAACAGACTGCTGGACGCCACGGGGGGATTTGTCGGCTCTCTTTCACCGAGAATGCCAGGGGAACCGGACTTTACCCCAGTTGTGCATCGTGTGGAGACCTCCGTGGAGCCAGAAATAGACTATGAAGGGCTTCCTCAGGGATCCGCCACCAGCACACACATGCTGGCTGGATCCGTGGCTGGAATCATGGAGCATTGCCTTATGTACCCCATCGACTGTGTCAAGGTAATGCAACTAATATATATACAACATTCCTCCTTCTTCTTCTTGTGCAGGCCTAGATTTGGTCACATTGAAAGTCACTGGTTATTTAAACCATGGATGTTTAAAGAGAACTGGATACATAACAGTTGCTAAGTGGTGCATGAAGCCAAAAATAGTCTTCCAAAGTACCCGTATGTAGGCCCATAGAGCATGTGCAGTTGAGATTTCCTTAAGCCCCGCCTCTTATCTCCAGCTCTCGGCTCTGTGAAATGAATGAAGAGAGAAAATAACTCGGGATTCAGGTTTTAGCACATTGTGCAACTTTCAAACCCATATGATTTAAATAAATGCTTTACAAGAGTTCGTACTGGCAAGTTGATATGACTCAAAAAATTATACGCATATTTACAGACGTCTCTTTTCCAGTGTAAGTCAATGGGAAACGTCTTTTTGGGCCAAAATGACGTCACGGCAGTTGTAGTACCACCATTTGGCCACAACGGTCGTTAATTTAAATCGGCTTCAACGGCCGGAGTTAAACCCACAGTAGGCCGCAATATAAGGCTGAGCTTGAATAACGTTTGCCGTTAAGCTAACGGGGGTAACCTTGTTATCAGAGGTCAGTTAACTAACTTAACATTACCTGAACAGCAAGTTATGTAATAAAAAATAGCTCAAACAGAAGATGGAATGACGTGGGTGTGTTTACCAAAGTACAGCGTTTTCTGTTTTCATTTTATGTAATAATAACGATGTGACATTGGCTTCTAGTCTCACTTAGCTACAATGCTACATGTGTAGTCTACTAGCTAAAGCAGTGGTGGATCCATTATCGGACACCCCCTAAACTTACATGTCACCTTTTGGTTTTGACGTGGAATCATAAATCTAAGGGTGGAAGAAGTACTCGGGTATTATGCTTAAGTTAAAGTGGATGTACAACAGTGTCAAAATACTCTGACAAGTAAAAGTCCTGCAATCAAAGTGCAACTAAATATATTTTTTATTGGCATCCAAATATGTTTAAAGAACTAAAAGTACCAATTATGCAGATTGGCCCATTTTAGAATAATATAAATGATGTGTTTGGGTTCTTATTATTGATGCATTAGAGTGTTATCAAAGTGGGTGGAGCTGCAGCTAATTTTAATGACTGTGTATGCCATGAAGTAAAAGTACAAAGTAGCAGGAAATGGAAATACTCAAGTAAAGTACCTCAAAATATTACTTGGTAAATGTACTTAATTACTTTACACCAATGAATCTAACCACAACACGTTTTCACTCTATAAGTTGGAATTAGCTTTGTAACTCAAGTTTTCTACAGATGTTGTCACGGTATGATAATCGTCCTACTAATTCATGTAAATATTCGTAGGACACGCTTTGGCAAATACTGAAATAACAAAGATTTCCTTTAAGCAATAGGAGTTATCAGAGGTTCCACATTTAAAACAATTTAGTATAGGTTACCTTAACTAAACTAATGTATTTATCATAGATGTTTGTGTATTTTCATCACTGTGTCAAAAGGTATTTGAGCCGGTCATGTGGAAAGTCCATGTAAAGAGAAATAGTAAATGATTGACACAGATGGTTAGTCAGTAGACACTGACAGTCAATCTGTATCATAAAGGTGAAGGAATTCTTGTAAATAACACACATACTGGCTTTGTACACATTGTACACAGTTGTCTTATCAGTCAGTCTTGCATAAGTCTGTATTTATTCCTCTAAACCAGGGGTGTCAAACTCAATTTCATCTCGGGCCACATTAGCATCATGGTTGCACTCAAAGGGCCGGTTGTAACTTTAAGACTATATAAATATACATGTATATGTATTAAATAATGTATTATATGACATTATTGCCTCTGCATTGGATTATTATCGGATAGGGTAATAACTACGTCTGAGAGCAGAAGTCTAGGGGCAAATAATCTCTTCTGTGAGAATGTCACAAAATGATTTGAAAAGAAAAGCCAAATTCTGGAGTTAAAAAAAAAAGTAACATTCTGAGAAAAAGGCATATTTTGAAGTTAAAAAAAGTCAAATTCTAGATGCATTGTGGGACATGTAGTTTATGGGCAACCTGCTTCTGTAAATCGGCATGTAACCGTATAATAAACGTATTATATTCTTTGCAAGCTCTTGTGGGGCCGCATAAAATGAAGTCACGGGCCGGATTTGGCCCCCGGGCCTTGAGTTTGACACCCCTGCTCTAAACCAACATATGACATAATTACACAGTGTGAAGACTACCCATCCATATTAATCATTAAGGTAAAACGAAACCGTACCAACAGAAGAGTGGACACCATCTTGTAGATCTTGCGTTGAGAGAATTGGGATTTATTGTGACGAATGTGCGTCTGAATATCCTGTTCCAGTTATCTGAAATTCAACCTTTTAAGCCTTCTGTGCTCATTAGTTTCTGACTGTATTTGAGTTACACATTACATACTCTTTCGATTTTCTAAAGAAGACTATGTAGCGTGCTTACACTGGATAAGAGATTAAGTAAATTCAAATATGTTCTGATGCATACTAGATTGAGTGTGGTGTAGGTCGACAATATTTCTCGAAAAGCAGTGCACAACAGAAATTGAAGAGCATGGAAATAATTAAATACAGCCTTGAATGGTGGCGAGAACAGGGGGAAATACTCTTGATAAAAGCGATTTGCTTATTTCTGTTGGTTTATATTTGTTTCCTGTCGTGCAAAACAAAGAAAAACAACCGTTCCCTGGTCACCAATTGAGAAAAACAATTCACTGTGAAATAAAAATAACAGATTACTGTGCACATTATTGTTTTATAGTTTGGTATAGCAATATATATTGTGTTTGTGAACAGACGAACATGTATTGGGCATGAGCATTAGTTGACCAAGCTTTGAGTAACGCTCATTACGGACTTGGAAATGTAACTCACTTCAGACCTTAACATTGGTTCAGTTACTAGACCCCAAAACAAACCTTTAGCAAAGAAGTAGGTCCCAATGCCGCGGCAAACTCCTTATCAAAGAATTATACTCCATAAAATGATCTATGTATCCATTTTAGGTAGTGCTGGGTTCATTTAGGAAAACCCCATTGCCTTCATTTGATTGCAATAGAGTGCCACAGTGACACGTCCTAAAACCAGGAAGTAAGTTAGCATTTCACCACTTCCGGTTCCTTCGACAAAAAGCACGGCAATTTCTCCATAGGATTTTGGAAAATAGCTGGAAATAAGGTCTGTGGTTGAGACACATTGAAGAGATGGACCACGTTTTATTCAGCCGGATAATCTCCACGTCTCTAACCTACTTTCATAATTTTCTCATCGATAGATTTATGATCGGAAGGAGTTTACTTCCGGGTTTTAGGACGCGTCACTTTGCCACTAATATTGCAAAAACGATTTCTGCTATTGGTGGAATTGATCATTTGTGTACCCCTGTTCTCATTGAAAGGAGAAATGTGAAATCTACATGCATTGTTGTTTTTTAAAAAGGGTCTGTACCAAACAAATATATTATTCTTAACATATCTATGCTGGGATTTCTCTGCAGCACAACAATACTTCATTCAGATGTATTTGTACATGTTTTGCCTGTAAGTAAGTTTCTTTTATCCTGACTGTCATTGAGTTCCTTGTGTTGAACCAGAGGAGGAAGAACACATTTCTTTAGGGGTTCCCCTGAGCTCCGGTGAATGAAACAAAGCTTTGTGTTCTCTAAAAAAACCTTCAGTGTAATCTCCTCAAGTTCATTATATGTTTCTCTTTTTGGCAAAACCATTTGAACCTGATCACCTCTTGTTTACGGGCGGTGTCCGACGAAAATCCGATTGTCCTGCATTCTTTGTAGATTTTTTTTTAATGGCCTTTCTTATTAAATCCGTCTTAACTTTTCTCTTCCCCTTCAGTCAAGATGGTTTCGGCCACAAAGGCGAAGTTCAAGGAGGAAGTGAATTGCAAATATTTGTAGAAGTACGTCTTCAAGATCCCTTTTTTAAATTCCAGTAATGTTGAGCGAACCACTTCCTCGAGAGTTCTTTATTTTCACAATCTTAGTTTCCTGTTCCTTCAAAGACAACACGGTTATCTACTGTTCAATTCCTTCCGATCATTTCAGACACGGTTTCCTTGTTGCTCTGGGTTTTTACTTTAATAATATGCACCAAAAGACGTGTTTTCCTGGTCTTATCGGGCTGTAACTTTAATGAATTTTGCACCTTTGACCAAACCAAAAAGTCAAAGTATACGACGGACCATTCCTGGGTTGCACTTCCCCACTACTACTATTAGATCACTACTTAATAAAGGAAGTGAAAAGAAGCAAACACACTTAAAAATGCCCTTTTATAGAGTGTAACGCCTGTCGAAAAACTCTTCAATTCAACTAATGTCCTTTTCATAGTGTAGGGTTTAACGTTTTGATCAATTACTGATCCAGTCATTATCAGCAGGTACCTCACAAAACACATATTTGACGAACACAGAAAACACTAAAATGGAAAGATACAGGTTAATACGTTCAAATGAATGTGACTATGACGTGTGTAAGGATGCATGTTGACTTCATGTTCCAGTCTGAT